CGCGCAGCCGGAAACGGCGGCTGCGTCTCTCTGTGTGAAGAAGAGGCCTCTGAACTCTGAAGCCCCGCCCCTCTGTCGTCGTTGCTGTTCCGGCTTCCGTCCACTTCCGGCCCCAAGAGGAGAGGGAGAAACATGAGCAACTGAACACATCCGGATTCAACGCCACCACTCAGTCACGACTAATGAGGGTTGGGATGTGCGTGTGTCTGTCTGAGCTGAGACCTCTGAACTCCACAGCCACGCCCCTCTGTTCTTGTCGTTATTGTTCCTATTGCTCCGCCCCCTTCTTAAGCCCCGCCCCACCTCAAGAGGAAAGGGCACGTGAGAGCGACCCACCACGTCCGGATCCGCCGCCACCACTCATACCACTATGATTGGTGTGTCGCCCAGTGTGGGCCTCACATCCGCACTGCGGGAATAACCCAGTTCGAGACCGCTCTAACTGCCATGAGGCTCCGTTTGGAGCAGGACTAAGAAGCATGGATTTATATTTAGCATTAGAATTTTAAACTCAGGGTGACCAGGCGTCCTCCTTTCCCCGGATACGTCCTCCATTTCAGCCTTGCGTCCAGGAGGAATGTTCGAAAATGTCCTCCATTTGGAGCAGGACTAAGAAGCATGGATTTACATTGACATTCGGGTTTTTAAAGTTCAGGGTGACCGGACGTCCTCCTTTACCCGGACACGTCCTCCATTTGAGCCTTCCTGTCCGAGGAGGAATGTTCCAAAATGTCCTCCATTTGGAGCCATGACTAAAAAGCAGGTATTTACATTTACATTAGTGGTTTTAACTCGGGAGGGGGGATTGACCAGGCGTCCTCATTTCCCCGGACACGTCCTCCATGTCAGCCTTTTGTCCAGGAGGAATGTTCCCAAGTGTCCTCCATTTGTAGTCATGGCTAAAAAGCATGGATTTATATTCGTGTTTTTAGCTCAGGGTGTCAAGGCGTCCTCCTTTTCCCGGACACGTCCTCTATTTCAGCCTTCTATACAGAAGGAATATTCCAAAATGTCCTCTATTTGGAGCCATGACTAAGAAGCATGGATTTATATTACTGCTTGTAGGTTTTGTTTTGCAGCGGCCTACATTTTCTTGAAGGTCCTACATTTTGTGGTGCCTTGTCCTCCTTTGCAGTGAGGACATCTCTCGAAAAGAGGGAGATACCCCCCTAGAGACCACCCTGTCCTCCTTTTGTCCTACAAGAGAGTGGGCTTATGTACCTTCCATACCTTTTAAGGCTACATCTACACTGCAGAATTAATCCAGTTTGACGCCTCTTCAACTACCATGGCTCAGTGCTATGGAATTCTGGGAATTATAATATTATCAGACATTTAGCCTTCTCTCTGTCTGAGAGCTCTGGTGGGGCCACAACAAACTACAATTGTTGTTTCACTTTAGAATGTTTTAAAGAGTTTTATCTTTTTTAAAATGTATTTTTATTCTTTTGATAGCTACCTATTTTAAACATTGTAATAATTTAATTCCTTTTTAGTGCACTTCTTTTCTATGTTTTTAATTGCATCATTCTTTTAATATCGTTCAGCCGCTTTGAGTCCTAGTTCTAGGAAAAGAGCGGGATACAAATAATTAATAATAATAATAATAATAATACAATTCCCAGGATTCCTTAGCATGGAACCCTGGCAGTTAAAGTTGTATTAAACTGGATTATTTCCGCAGTGGGGATGCAGTCTAACTTAACCTTATGGGGGCACCTTTTCCGCAACATTTGACCAAGACATTATCACACTCCGCTGTTATAGCGCTATGGTCCCACTTTAACTCCTATGGCTGCTTCCTGTGGGATTCTGGGATTTGTAGTCTAGAGAGGCCCAAGAGCTCTCTAGCTGGGAATTCTAAATGCCTCTCTCTCAACTACAAATCCCAGCATTCGTAGCCATTAAAGCGGAGTCATAGTGCTATAACAGTGTAGTTTGATACTGGTACTTTTTGCCTTTGTCTGAGGCTGAGAGAGTGTGACTTGACCAAGTGCCCAAGGGTTTCCATGCATGGCTGAACAAAGCGGGATTCGAACCCTGGTCTCTCCCAGTGTCTTAGTCCAACACCTAGACAACTATACTATGCTGGCTTGCTATCCTGGCAATAAAAGAAACCCTCATCCCTTTGATCGACCTGGCGTGCCCCCATGCCCTTTCCTAGTCAGTCCTTGGGATGATTTTGGGGTGATTTTGGGGAGGGGTGACACAGGATAAACCCCTTGCAGGGGATGATTTTGGGGAGGGGTGACACACAGAATACACAGGACAAACCCCTTGCAGGGGATGCCCTAGCTGGAGATCCTGCACTGAGCAGAAGCACTGAGCAGTGGATTGGGATAGATGACCTCTGGGGGTCCCTTTCAGCTCTGTGATTCTA